ACTTGGCTCTAGCTTTGGGTAGAATGAGTACCCATAATAATGATGACAGCTTGGCCATGGGGTGTGGGCTCATGCCAAAACTCCCAAGTGAAGACATTGACATATGAGCTGGTTTGAGGCTGATGCACTTCCACATGGCTTAGGCACATATAACTAAGAGATCATCCCTCAAGGTGGCCTTCACATCCCAGGGTACGGTCAGGAAAATGTGCTGGAAATAAGTTCATGCATAAATTCCACGACATATTTGAAGCACAATACCTTGAGAGACATTATCTCTCATGGGGGAATTCACACCAAAAGGCCTAGAAATAACAGAGCAATCTGAAAGTTTAATACAGTTATAAAAATCTTCAAAAAGACGAAGAAATAGCATCTATAAAACAAGAACAGAAAGCAAAAAGGAACATGTAGCAGAAATGAACTATCTGAAAATCTTAGAAATAAAAACTAAAGTCACTGACATTTTTAAAAAATCAGTAAATAGGTTAGTAAATATATCTGAAGAGAGAATTAATAAATTAGAAACTAGAATTGAAGAACCCTTTTAATGATGCATAAAATGATAGACATTAAACATATGAAATAAAAGAGACATAGAAGATTGAATGAGAAACTCCAGCATATGTATTAATAGTTTCAAAAAAGAGACACTGGAAAGAGTGACTAAATTCTTTCTAAAAATAAGACATAAATTTCTAGATTTAAAAGGTCCACAGACTGCCTAGTAAGATATCTTAGAAAACAAAATTACCTCTAGACACCTTGTCATCAAAGTGTAGAACACCAAGAATAAAGAGAAATTCTAAAAGCCACCAGAGAGAAAAGATAGCTTATTTACAAAGGTCCAATAATTGAACTGACAGTAAACTTCTCATCAGCAACAACAATGCCAAAAGACATTGGAACACTATCTTCAGAGTGCTGAGGGCAAAGATTGTAAGCCTACAATTCCATACCTTGCCAAACTGTCATTTAAATGAAAAGGGCAAAATAAAGACATTTTGACACATAGAAGATCTTCGAAAGCTGCTGTCCCACTGACCTTCACTGAAAGAGAGAGGCACAGGGACTTGGGGGAGGGGTTGGGAGCTCACAGATGTGATGGGCTCAGTGGAGGGAGGCTGGGCTCTGTTTCAGACATCTCCTCAGCACCAGCCAGACAGAGGAGCCCAGCCCAATCTGGCCCTGCTAGGACCCAGCTCAGGTTCCTCCCTCCTGAGTGCCAGCCTTACTGCCCTCCCACCCCCTTCCTGGGCCATGGTAGTGGCACAGCACCCAAGCTGGGGTTGACACTGCCAGCCTGGCTCAGGTGGCCTTGAGACAGCCATGTCCAAGCTGTTCATGTGACTGGGCACTGGACCTCAACACTAGGTCCTCTCCTCTTGGGAGATCGAATGCCACCTTACAGAGGCCTATGGGTGGCTGGAGCTGTGGGGAAGGGGGCTTTCATTTCCTAGAGGAAGAGACTCACAGAGGGGACAAGACCACTGGAGGCTGGGCTACCTGGGACAGGAGGTTTCTTGGAGCTTCTGGCTCTATCCACCCAGCTGTTGTCCATGGCTAATTTCTTACCCTCTTTGAGCCTCAGTTTCTTACTTATAAAATAGGGAGAAAGCCTACCCAATGAAGATGTGAAGATGAAATGAGAATCCATTCAGGCACCAAGCTTTAGATGCATTTTCCTACACAGAAATTTCTTAGAAGGATAATTTCCATCTAATTCCACTGCCTAGCTCAATATTAATACTGATATTACTTGATATTAATATTATCAGAGTTCAACAAAAAAAATTGTGCTCTTTAAAAATTACAATAGTGGCTGGGCACAGTGGCTCACGCCTGTAATTCCAGCACTTTGGGCGAGAGGATAGCCTGAGCCCAGGGATTTGAGACCAGTCTGCACAACTTGGTGAGTCCTCATCTCTACAATATATCCAAAAAAATTAGCTGGGCATGGTAGTGTGCACCTGTAGTTCCGGCTACTTGGAAGGCTGAGGCGGAAGGATCATCGGAACCCAGCAGGTCGACGCTGGGGTAGCCTTGAGTGTGCCACGGCACTCCAGCCTGGGCGATGGAGTGAGAGTCCAACTCAAAAGAAAACTTTTTCCAATAGCTTTAGTAGGGGTACAGATAGTTTTTGGTTACATGGTTGCATTGTATAGTGGCTAAAAAGTCCAGGCTTTAGGTGTCCCTGCCACTCCCACCTGTGCATACTATACACATCTGATAGGTGATTTTTCAAAACACTGTTAACAAGAAAAGTCACGGTGAGGGCAGATGAGTAGAGGTGGGAATGTGTGCAGTGTGCTGGTCTGTGTGTGCAGCGTGGCTGTGGCATGTGTCTGTATTCATCCCCCTACTCCTCAGTTACTGCTACCCTCTTGGTGCCAGGATCTGTGCTGGGCTTCAGAGGTAGAGATGACCTTGAACTGGAGGAAGACCACCCATGAGAGAGACAGCTCAAACCAGGAAATTCTAACAGATGGATAGGGGGTTTCTTCAGAGGTGAACTTCGTCTTTTGTGTGTTGTCTATCTTCCCCATTCCCACTCCCAACCCATAACCAATATAAGCTCTACGATAGCAGGGATCACATTAGACTTGTTTTAAGCTGTATTCATCATGTGCAAAACAATGTCTGATACGCAGAAGGTGCCAAAGAGGTATCTGCTGAATGACTATGCATATAAGCGCTAATAATAGAGGCTGTGTAAGTTGACATAGGAGCACCAAAGAGGTCTTCGCTGACTCTGCCCCAGGAATTACAAGTTTCTCAGCAAGGGCCATTTAGATTGGGCCTTGATGGATGTATAGGAGATCAATAAGTGAAAAAGGAAACAAAAGGGCATTCCAGGCATTGTGGCCAGCACATTTTGAAAACATGAAGGTGAGTTCAGGAACCAGTAATTGGGTGTGACAGGAGCATAGAGTGCAGAGGGTGGTGATGGAGAGGCAAGTGGAAACAAAGCTGGGGAGATAAGAAGGATCTTGAACAAACTCGGGCTGTCAGAAAGTCCTTATTAAAATCTAACCACCTTCCTTGATGTAATACTCTGGAGAGAGTAGTGTTTCCAGTCCTCACTGTTATTCTAGGGAGGCTGCTCCCTTCAAAGGATAAGGTCTTATCTGGAAGTGGAACAAGGATCTAGTAGAGATCTTGTAGAGAAAGGGGACAGTCACACCCCCATTAATTCCAAAATCTTCTCCAAGTTGGGAAGAGGGTGGGATAGGGCACCTCTCCTCAGGTGAGGACTATATGCTGCCCCCTTGTGGCCTTGGCAGACCTCAGCAAGAAAGCCAGCCAGGTTGTCTGCTATAATCCCAGAGATCTCCCTCCAATCTCCATCAGCCTCCCGAAAAGTTATCCCAGACCAGACCCAATTGCCTGATTTATCCCACATTTACTCAAGGCTGGGCCAGTGGAATCAGGGAGGCTGAGTGAAAGGAGACAGTTCACATGAAGTAAAGCCTGGTTCTCTCTTACACACACATGCACATCATCTTTGGCCAGAGAGCAACCATTTATGCACAGGGTCAGGAGACCGGGGCTTTGGTTTCCATCCTTAATTCATGGAGTGACCTTGGGTAAGTCACTGTACTTCACTAGGCCTCCCATGACTCCATCTGTAACGCATGGATCATGATCCCTCTTCCTGTCTCCCCTGCAGGGTCACTGTGAAGATCATTGGGAGGACGGATGCTGCAAGTGCTAGGAATAATGTCTAAAGAGTGCTCCGGATGTAAGGGGATCGCGCTGGGCATTAGATAGGGGCTCTCTTGGGCTGCACCAAAGGGTTTATTTACACCAGGATGGGCCCGGCTGGCAGGGCGATTTAAAGGGAAAGTGTTCAGCAGGGAAGCTGCTTGCCAATCGTAATTGATCGAAATATCTCCAAAAACAATGGAAGTCTATGGGAAAACAGGGACCCATTGATTGAACTGGAATTCCAATCATGCTTGGATTTTCAGGAATGAGTCAAAGAGCAGTAAGGGGGACAGAGGGTGTCAGGAAATTAAACAGTCGAGCTCCTGCTTTGTCTCTGAGACTGGGGCCCCTCTGCACGCTTGCGTCCTCTCTTGCATTCTCTGCACATGGGGCTGGCTACATGGCTATCACTGAAAACTTGCTGATTATATGATGTCTCACTAAGACATGTTTGAGACGGGACAGCTGGAAAGGGCAGAAGATCCTCTTTAGACAGAAGTCCAGAGCTAGAATGAAGATAGCTATATATAGAAGGAGGGACTGAGTTTGAGCATGTGGGGGCTGTCCCTGACTCACTGTGTTACAGGGACAGATTTACTGACTTCTCATGGTGGTATTATCAACTGCTTTCTACCGCGATGACATTGGAAGGGTACCATGTATTTAAACTTGAAAACTAAAAAAACTTTTCTTTTGTAAAACAATGTTCTTTTTCTTTCTTTTATAGTGAAGTTCCATCTCCTTTTGCTTTGGTGGCCAATAAGTTCAGGATCAAGTAATTTTAACAACTAAGTGGGTCTTTTTACCTACCATATTTATGCTCTTGTTTTCTATGACCCTGATTTCCTACCCAATTATATATTTCCTAATTCTAATTTGTTCTATTTCATTATTTCATTGTGTTCTCACTGTAAGCCATCTAGGTAATTTCCTGTGGAACAAGTAAGATATATTTAAGTAAATAAATTTAAATGAGATAGATGGCACAGATGCCCAAGATACGGAAAGAGATCCAAGAGACCAGGGAATCCCCTGGGAGGAAGAAAGATAACTGGGCGACAGAGTTACCTGAAACTTTACATGTTGCTGAAAGCCAATTCATGCCTTATCCCCCCGGTTTACAACGGGGGATGATATATGGCGAGAGAATCAAAGAGCATTAAGCTCAGACTTGAAATCATCAATATAAGCCTTTTCTCCATTCCCACCTCACCCTTTGAGACAGTCCCCAAGCCTTTCCCAAGCAAAGTGGCCCCATGAATGCCCCCAGACACAGAAACCCAGACTCTAAATTATCTAAAATGACATTTATTGCATTTCATGCAGTTTGAAGTCCATGCAGCAAAGGAGACTAGCACAATTTTTTAATGCATTTAAAAAAAAATAAAATAAAGGGGGAGGGGCACAATGCAGAAAGTTCTAGTCTCCTCGGGTCCCTGGGAGAGAAGGTGTGGGAATGAACCCATCCACTCTCCGTGGGGAATGAGTTGATCTCTCAAATGCAAGGAATGTTTCTGTGGCCTCTGGATGCAAATACACAGAACTCTGGGGCAAGAGCAGGGAACGGGGAAAGGACCACTAGTGAAAAAGAAGCTACATACATTCACCTAATTCAATTTTGGGGCAGAACAATGTGGCAAATCTTGGGGGCAGCAGCTGGTCCAAGAGTTAGGAAATACCATACACTCCTGGGGAGATTTGCTCCTAAAAAGAAGAGTGGCGGTGAGAACCAAAAAAAGAAAAACAAAAGGAGAAATATTTCTTCAACCACATTCTTCAAGAAAATGCCATAAGTATGATATTTAATATTTTCACTTCATAGCACTGGACACACAACTCAGCATATTGAAATATTGATTCCTTGGAGAAAAAAATGGAAAAAAAGGAAACAAAAATATTGCAACTTTCTGTGGAGAATCTCGGCCCCCCGGCATGGGGCGTAGTGCACCAGTGTCCTAGCCTGCAGGAGGCGCTGAGGTCGGCTGGGTCCTCTGGGGAGGGAGGCTGCGCCCATCGCCTGGGGCTGTATGGCAAAAATTGTGTTTGGTGTCCTTGGCCTTGCCAGCTCAGGCCCTCAGTCGCCGGTCACCTGGGGGGTCTGCCCGTCGGAGGGCTGGTTGGCTGACTGGATGAACATGGGCTGGGCGAGGTCCTGGCCCGCAGGCATGGTGACTTGCTGGATCTGGTAGAGCTGCTGCGAGGGGTGGAGAGGAGAGAGTGAGGTCACCCCTGGGAGAGGGGCATGCAGCTGCCTATGGGCCTCGAGCTGGTTGGGGGTCCCAGATACCTCAACCACCACCCACTGCAAGGCGTCAGAGGGAGGAGGGGATGTGGAGCTCTGCTGGGGTTGGGAGCAGCAGACACAGGAGGCACCAGCCCGGTGTGTGGGGGGGTGTGTGGTGGGCAGGGAAGAGGTGCAGGGAGTTGAATTTCCTGTGGCTTTCACTTCTCTGGGCTCTGCCTCTCCCGTTAGCTCAGAGACTCGAGCTTGCTGCACGCTGTTCCTCTGTGACAAACACAAGCAATTCGAACCACTGTACCAGCAGCTTGGAAGTCAGCATTTCCCCAACTCTTGGTAATCCTCACTGGCAGGGGCAGCAGGATTACCCCCTCCTCTCTTCCTTTCCTCAGATTTCTGGCTCATGTTGAAGCTAAACTGAACCTGCATTTTCTACATACGCCCTGCTAAGGAGGTGGCCTGGTATTAAACATTTATAATAGCCAAGACCCATGATGGATGGAGAAGATGCTCACTTAGGAAGGTTAGGACCAACCGGCTACTTGATTTCTCAGGTGACCCAAAGGAAACCAAAGCCAAGACCCCCACAGGAGCCCTGGCATGTAAGCCTAGTACACGGTGCTGGCAAAAGCCAGAGGTGGTCCTCATGCCAGCTCTCCTCCCTTTCGGGCAGCAGAGAACACAAGCTTAGGCATGTCATCCTATCATGTCCTCCGTGGTCTGGGACTGTATCGGGAGGGGGAAGCAGGAGGTAAAAGGAAGATTTGTTTCTTGCATAGACTTAAAATTACTAAATTCCAGGCACCCAGAGAGCTCGAGAAGCCACATGTTCTCTGCATTTCAACTAGTCCATGCTGTTAAAAAAGCATCATGGCTTAGGGAAAAAAAGAGTCCTAGAGAGGGAACCAGGGGACTTGCAATCTAGTCCAGGCTCTGCAATGGTCTGCGAGTGACTGTGGACAAGGTACTTCCCATCTCTAGGGCTCAGTTTAATTAAATGTAAAATGGCAATTTGGGTTATAAGTCTAAGATTATTGTTAGTGCCCACAAGTCTGCACATCTTAAGGAAAGATGCCCTGATTTAAAGACTGTATTTGTTTTAATGATTTCTGTCCACTCATTGTTAGAAGAGGATAGAACAGTTGCCCTAACCATCCAAGCCCAGATACTACCTGCTACCCTGCCCCCCAAGTCCTCACCCTCTGCCCTTGCCCAGGCTGGGTACCCTACCTGTCCATCTGTGAACTGGCTGAACTGCTGCTGTCCTTGCTGGACCTCTGTCTGTGTAATCTGTAGGAATCAAGATGGCAGAGTAGGCATGTCAGCTGCAGGGTCTAGTCTACCAGTCCACCACCCAGGAGAGGGTCATGAAGATCAGATGAGACAATGCATATAAAGTGCAAGTGGCCCTCTTTCTTTTCTTCTCTTTTTTTTTTTTAAGTTGGAATCTTACTCTGTTGCCCAGGCTGGAGTGCAGTGGCATGCTCACAGCCACCGCAGCCTCGAGCTGCTGGACTCAGGTGATCCTTCCACCTCGGCCTCTAAGTAGCTGGAACTACAGGCATGTGCCACCATGCCCAGCTAATTTTCTGACTTATTGTAGAGATGAGCTCTTGCCAAGTTGCCCAGGCTGGTCTCGAACCTGTGGGCTCAGGCAATCCTCTCACCTAGGACTCCCAAAGTGCTGGGATTATAGGTGTGAGCCACCACGCCCAGCCAAGGGTCCTTCTTAATCTCCTAGCACTGATAGCCACCCAAAGAGTTGGCGCCACCCATGCACATTTATAACCCTGGAACACAAAGCATACAACTCGCATAGCCATCTCTCTAATGTCTGCCTACTCTCCAAACTACCCACTCACTTCAAGGTACGATTCGCAGACAGAACATCTACTTCCTAGGTGCTATGGTTTGGGGTTGAAATTCTAACAGTCTTTCAGTCAGTGAAGACAGATTGCAAAGTGCTGGGCAAAGTAGTGAGTGGTCCTGTTTATTCTTGGAAGGTGGGCTCCAAACCAAACCCATATCACCCAGATTATCTGACCGGAATATGAAACACCCTGGCAAGTGAGTGGCCTTGCCCTGGCAGTCTCCACAGCAAACCTACGAAGTACTTTTTCCGAGAGAGGCAGCACGCAGCCCTCTGGGCCAAGGGAGGGGAGAAAGGGGGAGGGATAGGGTGAAGCAAGGAAAACATTTATCATATGCACTTAATATCTTATGTGGACAGATTTTAAAATAAATTTATTGGCATGTAGAACTGCATCATAATATAATGACAACTGCTGGCAACAACTTGGTAAACTGGAAGAAAGACCTGGTAAACTAGTAAGAAGAATGCACATGTGTGTACTGGAACATTTAACTAGAATGCCCTCTGGGTACCATTTTCTGGAATCATCATAACCAGTCAGCTAGCTAAGGACTATCCTCTCAAATGTCCTCACGCTAGCCAAAAACAACTCCCATAGGCCTACTCATGAGGCTATGAGGAGCAGGGCAGGGGACAGGTCTGAAAAGGCTTCATGACTACTTCTTGCTATTGACTTATTTTGGGTCCTCTCCTGCCAACAGTCTATAAGCTTCCTGAGGACAGGAGCCCAATCAAAGAGAGTATTCAAGAAATGTCTGCAGACTAAATGAGTGAGCTGAAACAAATGGAAAATCTCCTCATAGATAAGAAGGTTAACCGCACCCTGTGGCCAGCAGGATTGCCATTCATATCTGCTGAGAAGTTTCTTTTACCTTTAAATTTCATTTACATATTACTTATTCAGCACTCACTCAATACATGTTTCTTGAGCACCTACTAAGTGCCAGTATGCCACAATTACAACCTGTTGTTATGGAGACTTTTTTTTTTGAGTTGGAGTCTCACTCTGTTGCCCAGGCTGGAGTGCAGTGGTATGCTCCCGGCCACCGCAGCCTCAACCTGTTGGGCTCCGGCGATTCTTCCACCTCAGTCTTCCAAGTAGCTGGAACTTCAGGTGTGCGCTACCATGCCCGGCTAATTTTTTGGATTTATTGTAGAGATGAGGTCTCGCCAAGTTGCCCAGGTGGGTCTCTAACCCGCAGGCTCAGGCAATTCACTCACCTCAGCCTCCCAAAGTGCGGGATTAGAGGCTGAGCCACCAAGCCCGGCCGTTATGGAGATTTCTAACTGCTCTCAGGAAACCCCTCCTTCTTCTCCTCTTCTTCCTCTTGCTCCTCACTGTCTGGCTTTAGTTTTGTTCCCAAAACTGACCTCTAAGGAATGAAGAACCTACCTCTTCTTTTTTTGAGTCAAAGTCTTACTGTCACCAAGGATGGAGTGCAGTGGCGTGCTCACAGCCACCACTCAGGTGACTCTTCCACCTCAACCTTCCAAGTAGCTGGAACCACAGGTACACACCACCACACCTGGCTCATTTTGATTTACTGTAGAGACGAGGTCTTGCCAAGTTGCCTGGTCTCAAATCCCTGAGCTCCGGTAGTCCTCTTGCCTCTGCCTCCCGAAGTGCTGGGATTATAGAGGTGTAAACCACCCTGCCTGGCTGAACCCTTTTTTTTCATTTCCTCCAACTCCCAGGCCATAAAAAGGTTTGGGATCTCAAGGAAGAATCTTACAAGGTTAAAAAAGGGGATGGAGGCACACCAAGGGTGTGGTCAGTCTTAAGATGTGAATCAGTATCAGTGAGCTCCAAGGAAATTATGGAGAAGCCCAAGTCCCTAGGTGAGCCAGGGAGTGGGTATGGAAAGGGCTCTTTAATGATCCTAGAGACTATCCAGAACTCAGAGGCCTTGCTTTTGGCTCATTCCTCACATTTTCCCAAATGAGACCTTTGGAGACCTGCTCTACAAACTCAGCTCTGTCACCACTGTCAATAGACACATCACCAGAAATGCAACTGGGCCAGACGGGTCCAGCTCTTAAACGATTGCTGCTTTTTTTGGGTCTGAGGCAAAAGAATCCATTAACAATTGCTTCCCCTTGACCAGCATCTCCCATCCTCTGCAAATGATGCCCACATCCCTCAACAACCCTGACCCCAGGGAGGTACCCCTCAGCATCTGTGACTCACAGCCATCAACACCATAGGGCATGGGAGGAGAAGACATGCGCAATTTTTCTAGTTAGGGAAGCACAGGAGGTGGAAGTAAAATCTAAGTAAGCTTTCCAAAGAGCACAGGAGGTGCCAGAACACAACGGCTATTCAGGTTTAAAGAGGGAAACTCAGCCCGATAACCAGGCAGCCTCCTCCAGCCGAATGTACATGCATACATACCAGGTTTCTTCCAGGTACCCTCAAGGCTTCCCTGATTTGCACTTCCTTGGCCCTCAAGAATAAGATGGTTAGACAAACATTTTGAATCTAATCTTTCAATTATCCCCATTTGTCCCTTGGGGTGCAGAACAGACCTGGAGGGTGTGGAGGTGGGTGCCTCTGGCTGAAGGGTGGGGTGGCAGAAAAGTTGTGTGCTGGGCACTCCTTTCTAGCCAGAAGCCAGCTCCTGCTGGTTTTCAACTCAAGCCCTGTATCTCTGGGACACATACCTGTTGGGCGTTGGTGGCAAGTGTCTGGATCTGTCCCTGCACGACTTGGGTGCCTGATACAGGCTGGGCTAAGCGAATATACTGCAGCTGGCCGGCATTCAACTGTACCTAGAGCAGAGGCAGAGACAAGACCATAGGACACTGAGCACAATCTCAAACAGGCAAGCTTTCTATTACCAGAGATGGTGATTTCGTCCTCCCCCTCAAATCCTCCAAAGAAGCCTAACCTGAAATACATCCCTTTCAACAGAAATCAAAACAAACAAAACTAGAACATTTCTTTTTTTTTGCATCAAAATCTCACTTTGTTACCCAGGTTGGAGTACAGTGGCACACTCACAGCCACCGCAGCCTTGATCTGCTGGGTTCAGGTGATCCTTCAGCCTCAGCCTTCTAAGTAGCTGGAATCATAGGTGTGTACCACCACATCCAGCTAATTGTTTTGATTTATTATAGAGACAAGGTAATGAGGCTCAGGCAATCCTCTTGCTTCGGTCTCCCAAAGTGTTAGGATTATAGGCATGAGCCACCACGTGCAACCAAAACATTCTTACCCCAAGTCACATAACACAGAAGAGGATATATTTCCTAAATGGACTTTGGGAAGAAACTGCCTGAAGATCTTGTCACATATGAGAATAAGATGGCTGCAGGCTCATCATTTGCTGGTTCTCAGTTGCTTGATCATAGCTTATCTTAGGACTTTATGTCAAATACTGTCTGACATTATCAGATGCCTGAAAATTAAGTATGGGCTTCTTTCCCTTCCACTTCTATGCTTCCCAATATTGTGAAGAGTTTCAGTGTCCAGTGGGAGCCCAAAACAGATGTGTCATTATTCCGCACCATAGCCCTGGTACTGCCCTGCCCCATGCTGTACATCTTGGAGGAAAAGGCTGCCAGCTTTACTACCTCCGTTCTCAAGAGCCAGGACCAATGCGGGGGTCTGCTGGACTTTCAGGATCCCTGGTGTTTAGCACTACCTTCTGGCCAAACACCTCCCAAGGGGAAGTAGAATCAATAAACCTTTCACAGAAAACCCCGTCATGGGAAACCAAAGCTACAAAAGTGCCCTTAGAGTCCCTCATGCTTACGATTAACTCTCAGATAATACAATAATACCACATGCTGCATTTAATTGCATGCTAAAAGCCTTAACTCAGGCTCTTAATGCTCCAGTGTACCATGGAAGTATTAGTGCTTTGAGTTGGAGAAGAAGAGAGGACCAAGGTGGTTACAATATGAGAGGACTATGGCTCAGCAGAGATAACAGTCAGCAGAGGAGAACTGCAGACATTCATGCCCTCAATTCATGGAAATTAAAGAGGTCTGGGAGCATGGGTAGATTTGGTCTAACTCTATTTGAGGCCCCCCCAAACCACCCTTTCTGGCTGCCCAGTCTGCCTTTGTTGCAAGGGGGAGCTTCTCGAGACTGACAGAAAAGTCTTGCCTCTTTGCCCTGAAGCAAATCTCCCCCTTGCCTTCAAGAGCTAACATCAGGAATTGTTCTTCCATGAGCAAAATGCTGATGAGATGAAGCTGTACTCCGGCATGCAGTGTTAAGTCAAACTGCTTTTCTGAATTTCCAGTCAAAGAAGGATTTGAACTACCAAGAAAAAACTAACTCTGAAGTTTGTGGTAGATTATTCCAGAATTGTCTGCTTGAGGCAAGACAAAGGGACACAAAATCTAAACTCATTAAAAATCTGGTTAAAAGAGACAGAGCAAGAATATTATGACTTGTAGTCATTTCTTGTCTGAGAATATGCCATGAGAAACTGCTAGAAAGTTGTGGTGCCAAGCCTGAATTCCCCGCCTAAATCCTATAATACAGCTTCCAGGCAACACTGTTAAGTTGCTTGTGGGGATGAAGACAGCTAGATGGGAGCTTGGGAAACCTAACTTCACCTGCTGAGACTGATGGTGGCTGGTCCCAAAAGTCATCAGAACTCCAGCCAAGGATAATAAGACGACAGACTAAAGACTTGTCCCAGGAGTAAGAGAAGGTGTACCAACAGTCACAAAGATTTAATTAAAATCTTTTAGCTGGGAAGAGCTCTTTGAAGAAACCCAAATGTGACTGAAAACCTGTGAGCCAAATGGTTCCAAGCAGTTCTTCGACAGAAGCAAGAAGCTTTCCTTTTATGCTTAGGTTAAGACATCTAGTGATGCTCCACCCTTCAGTTCTCTGCAATAGGACAAATCTGGGGATCCTCACAGCCTTTTCACATTAATTACAGAGCAAAGACGCCTACCCCTTGGGTTTTCTAAAGGGGAGTAAAAACGTTTCCTTCCTGAAGGTCATCACTATTGTAAGCACTCTGATGAGCTGCCTGAAGAGCATAGAAACACAGATTCCTGCAAATGGTGCCTGAGACTAGTGAAAATGAGGTCGTGAGTTCTGTGCTAATGCTCTGTGCTCTGTACTCTAGAGGGTTAAAGCTTCTGTAAGGTGGGAACTCTTCTCTGGCTTAAATGGACCTGTTTTGGTGCCTTCCATGCAAAAATTAGGACCATTCAAGAGAAATCTTGGGGTTGGTGACAGAACTAAGACAAGGGATTGATGGGTATTGTGTGTGCAAGAGAGACAGAAACACAGAAACAGGCATACACATACCCACTTTGCTAAGCTTGGCCTATCCTTCTGCTAACTTAATAGGAATAATTCCTAAACTGAGTTGAGAATACTTGTAGAGTTTTTTTCACAGAGGAAACTGTTAACCAAATCCATGCAAATTTCTATACCTGCCTACATTTCATTTACAACAGGAAGAGCAAGGGACAGGAATCTGTTTTACTCACTTTCCAGTTTTCAGTGGCAAAATGACCAATGTACAGACTACAGGTGTTAAGACAAGGATATAGTTTACAAAAGAACAAGTACAAGTAAAAAAGTCAACAAATCTAAGAAATGAAATCCCTTAAGACATACAGGAAGCAGCAGTCCACAGTGAAGGAATGGATAAGTTATATGAAAGCCAAAAATATGCTTTGCTGCAGGCTCCACTGGGAACTGACTCATGAATATGCAACAAGTGTATTTATGGTCTTCCTTATACACCTCCCTCTCATTCTCTGCTAATCAAAAGACAGGACTGCCTCACAGGGCCTTTGGGCCTTGGCATGGGAAGTGGTTATAATGATTTCTCTGCATAGGTGCAATGAGAGGCAATCGAAAGGTGTTGTCCCACAGTGGTGAACCCGAACCTGGATTAAAGGAAAGCCCAGAGTGAACGTAGTAAAAGCAAACTGTGGTGAGGAGCGTAATAGGTATATGGATAACAAACAAAACAAACACACATATATAAAAGTGTGTGTGTGTGTGTGTGTGTGTGTGTATAAAATCTTTAAGTATCTCCTTTTATAAAGTTGTGAACAGAGCCATGGAGACTTCTAGGGCAGGGCTTACTGGGATCTGCTGGATCTCTCCCGTGTTAGTGATGATCTGCTGCATCACTTGCATGGTCTGTCCAGTGCCACTCTGGGCTGGTTGGGCTTGACTCTGTGGCTGGGCCTGGACAATCTGCACCTGCTGACCTTCTCCAACTTGCATCGTCACAGGTGTGGTCTGGAAGAAAAAGTCATCAGAAAGTTGCATGAGTTCTGGCTCAGAGCCTACAGGATTACCAAGAGGCTAATAATGAGCAATTAATCAGGAGCAAACCCTCTCCATTAATGCCTAAATTCATCTCAACACTAGTAATGCTCAACCTACAACCTACTAAACCTTCAGGTTTAGAGCATTGCCAAAGTTACTCTCTAAAATGGAAGCAGGAAAGCCAACAAGATTTCTAGGTTTGCAGTAAAGAATAGTTGCCTGGATTCCAATCATAAATCTCTGCACTGCAAATGTTGCAACTTTTCACAGTCCCTTCAATAATGGTAAGACACATACAGTGCAGAAAAAAAATAAAAAAACAACGACAGTTCACTTGAGAAATGGTCAAAGTCAAGTCTGGAGCTGGTGAATTTGAAGGGTAAAAGTAAATGGAAAGTAAAGTCAGCGTGAATTTACTAAGTTCAGGGTTCTGAAAGGAAAATAAAGCACACATGTGCATCTCTGAGGCTGACCCTAGTGTGCACTGGCTTTCACCCCCATTCAAGCAGCAAAGCAGCTCCTGCCCACAATGGCCAGATGGCTGCTCTGGATCACAGCATGGCTTCCCACGAGAGAAAATGCTGTTAAGACACTAGGCACTGGTTTGCTGGGCGCAGTGGCTCACACCTATAATTCCAGCACTTCGGGAGGCGGAGGTGAAAGAATTGCCTGAGCTTAGGGGTTCAAGACCAGTCTGAACAACATGGCAAGACCTCACCTCTACAATAAATAAAAAAATTATCTGGCCATGGTGGCACACAGCTGTGGTTCCAGCTACTTGGAAGGCTGAGGTGCAAGGACTGCCTGAGCCCAGCAGGTCAAGACTCAGGTGATTGTGAGCATGTCACTACACTCCAGCCTAGGCAACAGAGTGAGACTCTGACTCAAAAATAAATAAATAAATAAATAAATAAAATAAGACACTAGACACTGGTAAGACCCAGACTTGGCCAGGTGTGGTAGCTCATGTCTGTAATCCCAGTACTTTGGGAGGCCAAGGCAGGAGGATTGTTTGAGCCCAGGAATTTGAGACCAGCCTAGGCAACATAGCAAGACCTCACTCATCTCTACAAAACAAACAAAAACAACAAGCCGGGTGTGGTGGTATGTGCCTGTAGTCCTAGTCACTGGGGAGGCTGAGGTGGAAGGATCACCTGAGCAAAGGTTAAGGCTGCAGTGAGCCATGATCATCAGCCTGGGCAACAGAGTGAAACACTGACTCAAAAAAAAAAAAAAAAAAAAGATCCAGTCTCTTAACCAAACCCAAAAGAATTTAATAAAGCAAGAACTGTAACTTTAGAAAAAAATGGCAATTTCAGATTAAAGAAATTTCTGTCTAATATATATGACTTAGCACATTCTGTCTCTCTCACACACACTTAGCAGTTGTCCTAAGAAACGTACTCTTCTGAGAGATGGTAAAGACATGAGTTGTCAAAAGGGTCAATTATTCCCTCAAACATCAAAACTTCAGTCCTAGATGTGACTTTCACGGGTTATCGAGAGCAGAGAGCCCAGCATATTTGGCTCATCTGGTTGTAGTAGTGATGGGAGGTGGGTGGAGCCTTTTAAACTATACCTGTACTCCAAATTCCCCATCCTGATTCGGTCATGATCTCTCCCCACTCTGAGTCACCTTGGTAAGAAGACACTGTGAGTCTCCATGAGTCATGGACTTCAACTGATGTTGCTCTTCCAAAGTTCTTAATTCTGACTACACAGGTCTATTGAACATTACACAACTGTACATCTGAAGTTACAAAGGAAGGGGACATGTTCTGGGAACTACAGAGGAGCCTCAAGGGACTACTAGGTAAGGAGAAATTACTTTAAACTGGAAGAGTAGGGAAGAAACACAACAGAGTGCTCTAAGAAAAAGTACCTACAGTGGGTTCGAACAGCAGGAAACACCTCTTCCATTCTTTTTTTTTTTTGAGTTGGAGTCTCACTCTGTCACCTAGACTGGAGTGCAGTGGCTGCTCCCGGCCACCGCAGCCTCGACCCGCTTGGGCTCCGGCGATCCTTTCGCCTCAGCCTTCCAAGTAGCTGGAACTACAGGCGCGTGCTACCACGCCTGGCTAATTTTTTGATTTATTGTAGAGATGAGGTCTTGCCTGCCCAGGCGGGTCTCGAACCCACGGGCTCAGGCAATCTACTCACCTCAGTCTCCCAAAGGCGCGGGATTACAGGCTGAGCCAGCGAGCCCGGTTCTTCCATTCTTATACCATGATTTTCAACTTAGCCTATCCCCAAACCCCCAGAAATAAGTTTCCAATTTGTGACAGAAATCACAGAATTCACTTCACAAAAATAAGCATTCCTTCCAACTTTGCTTTAATACGTATTCTGTCCTATAAAGGACATTTGCACTTAACTTGAAATAGCCATCACTACAGGTTCAGGGAGATATGACATAGCACAAGACCACCCTGAAGCAGCAGTATGGTGAAAGAACAGCTAGGGGATGCTGGGAGGGACCAAATTCATCGTCCTCACAAACCTTATCAGCTCCAAGACGAGCAGGTCTAAGTTGCCAGAGAAAAGGATAGATGAAATTCTCGCTGACTAAAAAAAAAAAAAAAATCATGCTGCCAACTCATCACTGTACTATATCAACCCAATTTTCCCAAGAGGATTTCCGAGGTATTTCTAAATCATCTCAGGAAAATGAGGGCTTGTGTTAGCATGGCAGCTGTCAAATCATGTGTGGTGTGCCCTGCTGTCAGGGTGCAACAGCCACGAGCTTCTTAGGATGATCAGCCAATCAGAGCCAGCCCCTGGCAGACTCCCTTGAAGTTCACTCTGTAAAGGGATAAAGGCTTTGGCAGGTAAAGCTCTCACCACTGCAGAGGCAAAAGCATTAGCCAAAGAAGGTCCCTTAGGCATCACAGTGCAGTGAATGTCTTGAGGCAGGGACTGAGCAGCCATCATCTTTGAACCCCTCCTGCCTAGAACAGTGTCTGGCATAGAGCACTCAATAAATTTTTGTTATATGGGTAAATAAAGGGACAGGAAAACATCTTAAAATCATAATTAATATTTAAATTCCCCTCCACCCCCATTTTTTTCTTCTAGGCCAACTCAGCTCCTTACTACAATACACAAGGCTATCCAGGATGTGCTATCTTCTCAGACTTGCCTAGATGTTCCCCTGTGCTGCTTGTACTTTCCCACCACTCTCTATACTGTTTCTCACCTCTAAGCCTTTGTGTTGTGCCCTCTCCTGGCAATATCATCTGTTCCTGCTTTATTTGATTAACTTCCACCGTTCCTTCAAGTTCCTTCTGACCACCTCTTCTACCACCTAACTCACATCTTTGTCAGGTACTCCTTTTGATGTGCTTCCATAACGCCCTGTACACAATTCTAAGAGTGTCGTACATTTCCCACATGGTGGAATAACCTTAAAGGTTATTTAAAGAGTATTTGTATCCCAACTAGATTTTAAATTCCTTGAAAGTAAGGACTGTTTCACTTACGCTTGTATCCCTAATACACAGCATAGGTCTTTACTCACAGAAGATGCTTAATGTTTAATACATAAATAACAGAGAATCTGGATTCAGAGTTCACACTACAGAGATCTCTGCAGCTTTTCATGACCCAACAAACATGAATGTTACTGCTCTCACAATACTACTGGGGAGGGAAAGAATCCTTTGATTACTATTGCAAAAAGAGGTCACCTGACACAAATATGATGGGACAGAGAAATGGCAGGGAGAAGGAGAGGAGAGATATGCAAACTGGCAGTGATATCCTATCTCCTCCTTTAAGGGCAAAAATTCCAGTTCTGGCATAGACACATAGACGTCAGGCAGGAAATCCACTTAAAATACCTTCTGACCAGGCGCAGTGGCTCACGCCTATAATCCCAGCACTCTGGGAGGCTGAGGTGAGATTGTCTGAGCCCATGGGTTCGAAACCAGCCTTGGCAACTTGGCAAGATCTCATCTCTACAATAAATAAAAAAATCAGCCAGGCGTGGTGGCGCATGTGCCTGTAGTTCCAGCTACTTAGAAGGCTGAGGTGGAAGGATCACCTGAGCCCACCAGGTCGAGGCTGCGGTGGTCGTGAGCATGCCACTGAACTCCAGTCTGGGTGACAGAGTGAGACTCCAACTCAAAAGAAACACAAATAAAATAAAATAAAATAAAATAAAATACCTTCTACAGAGATCCCACTACTCTTCATGGGGCATTAAAGACATTTTTCCTTCTAAAATTTCTGAGCTCATAGAGATCCTGGAGAATACCCTGTCCACTGCATTTTCCTCATTTGACCTATGCGGAAAAAGGGGCCAAAGAGATTAGGGTGACACTTTAGTAGCTAAACTTAGGGAAAAGCTCAGCTTTCCAGACTTCAAATCCACTGCTCTATAATGATTTGGCTACTTCTCTGCCCTAGTCAAGCTTTCTCTATCCCAAACCTAAGCAGCACTGTCTTGCTGGATGGGTATCCTCAGCAGCTCACAGACCTGGCCCTGCTGAGGCTGTGCAATGATGATCTGTCCAGGCTGGATGGTAGTCGTGGAGCTGGTGGTCTGCTGGCCTTGCTGCTGTCCCTGAACTTGGACGGCGGTAGGCTGCTGAGCCAGCGTGAAATAGTACTGGACAGGCTCGGCAGGAGTTACAGACTGGCGCACCTCCTCCTGTGGGGTGGAAGGAGAGACAGGTAAGAGGAAAAGAACTGACTCAGCAGCCGCCACAGTGAATTTCCACTCTTCCCCCAAACAGGCTATGTGCAGTTGCCTGCTGAATGCTGAGCTCTCCACATTTGAAGCCAAAGGAAAGTGGAATTGAAGAGACCAGTTGTACTAAATCAAACTAAAAATAACAGATTCTATAGGCTTTACAAAACATACAGCCCATTTCTGAAGTACTGAGTAATCACCCACTGCGTGATGAGTTGCAAACGGGCAAATAATTACCATTAACTAAAAACCACGCACCAGCAGTGCTTGTCAGTAAATGCTGTCAAACCTGTGATCTGAGAACAGTGCTAATTGCAAGCGTTGGGAAGATGCTACCCAAACATCATGCCTCTCAGGCCAGCTCCAAGTCTCCCAAAAAGGCATCACTCTTATTTTATTCCCACCACCTCAAGAGGGACAAAGCAAGTTAAAGGAAAACAGGGTTTTTCCTGGGCTGGAATTTCAGAATCAAATGTCAGGATCAAGAGCACTGGTAGGCAAGTGCATAGCTCTTCACAGCACATGAAAAGCTCCATGGTCACTGGGGGCATGTCTATCCAACATCACATCTGGTTCCGGTTGTACTTAGCCAAAGAAGTGCAACCCAGGGGGACTGATGGACAGCTCTCTGCTGGGGTACTGCCTTGGCTGACTAGGGAGGTCACATTCTGTCGATCTGCTGAATGAAGAGATTGTTCCTTTTTCAGCTGATGTTTTCCATGGCAGAAGGAGTAAACAACCCTCTCCCAGCCACCTCAAGCTCACAGCTGAGAGTGTAGGATGTTTACACATACTACAGCATGGTTATAGCCCACAGGTCCTGGGTTGGTTGGCCCCTGACCACTGACACAGAGAACGGCGTCTGATCCGGAGTGACCTGTGACACATGGTTGTCCCTATCTGGGACAACAAAAACAATAAAAACATACAACTTTGGCTGGCTGAGTAAAAATATTAGCTCAATTTACTCACTTCCATGTTCTGGTCACAGTTAGGCAGGTTCCAGAAAAGAGGAAAAGAAAAGACACTTCTTCAAGGTACAGAGACATCCTGTGGACTGCCTCACAGCTCCCCAAAGTGACATTTACAAAGTTGGTATTGACTCCATCTCCTCACTAGATTAGGTGTCCAGAACTGTGCTTTCCTAGTACTGTCCTCATTATACTTTTCTGTACTTGTATGTCAAATTAACTGCCTTTCTTGCTAAAATGTAAGCCCTATGAGGGCAAGGCCTTGCTCTCTCTTGCTTCCTACTATCCTTACCATTCCCAAGTAGGCACTCAGTGACTGCTGAAAGATGAATGGATTTATACAGACAGGTAGACAGAGGCAGGAAAGTACTTCGCTAAATCCAAGTTGGTGGTATGATAAATTCCCTAGAGCCCAACAATAGTTACCAATAGAAAAGAATCCCTAAACTCTCTTTTGCTACCTCTAGGATTCTGGAGAGAAGCTGGTGTCCCCTGCAGAACAGGGTTGGCTATTCTTTTGTTTGCCTGGCAACCAGGAGCAAGGATACTAAAACTAGGATTGCCAACATCTAGTCTCTGAGAAACATAGGTCCTCTGCATGACAGGGTTCCCTGATGGTTATCTACCCAGATTAGGGAGATACTTGTAACATTCTGGGTTTCTAACCAAGTTCTCAAACATAAATCAACTTTCTAGGTTAATATATTCTGTGCTTCAGACCCAAACAGTTTTAACCCTCAACATGAGTAGGTCTCAATTTCTAGGACAATTTCTAGCCAACTCTATTTCATCTCTAACTTCTCACTATCATAAATAAATGCCTGCCTAACAACTAGGCCTTGGCAGGGCTGAAATACTGACACTCTTTTTCAACCAAGAAACAGTCGACTACTCTTTTCAAAGTTGATGAAATAGGTTCATGTACTTATCTTTCACTGAGATTCTCATCCTATTTTATAAAAAACACAAATCACTACAGTTCAGACCTAACTTGGAAAAGTTCTTGGGTGATGAGAGGGTATAAAAGACTAAGAGTTCCAGAACTAGCTTGTAGGAAGCCAAGGAATAAGGAGACATTGGTATTTCCTAGCCCTGACCTGTGACTATTCTGTCTCCAGTTATCTCTAACTACAGTTGACCTAGCATTGAATATGGTCTTTTTGTCATACAGAAGCCAAAACACCCCTTGCCAAAAGCTATAAGAAGAGGTAAAGCGCTCCTCCTATGCTGTTTACTGTATCCTCTTAACTGTCAAGGACACTGTTGGAGTTCAAATAGAGACGCCTAGGTTTGTGTTGTTAGGACAAGGCATGACTGTTCTCAAATCACTGGAATGGAAAAAGGCACATCTAAGACTCTTCTGCATTATGAAGACTCATTATTCTGCCAATGGAGGTCAAGCTAGCACAGGAATGATTATGCTTGGTTTAAAGAAATGGGTGAAAAGACAATGACATTTCAACAGGCAGGAACTTTCAACTCATAGCTCTAGTGGGGCAGAAGTCAGGCCTCAACTACCTTCTACCTTCAAATAGTCTTCACTTGTCTCCCTGAAGAACAAGAGAAACTCCCAAGCATCTCTGAGAAGTCAAGGGCCTTAGACTCACCATTCAGTATTTCTAGCTAGCTCCTTTTCCCAGCAGTAGGAGATCGCCCAAGTACCAGAACAGTCCCTTAATGATTGGCTCAATCAAGGATGGGGCACTTGCTCAACCTTAGCAAGTTTAGTGACCTCAACCAGAAGGTTTGCTCTTGGAATCTTTTCAGAAGCTGAGACTGACAAACAATGCCAGAGAATGGGCTGCATCACATCCTAGGGCCATTACGACAGTATTGTGCAGCCAGCTCCAACTGGAAAAAAGTGCATTCACTTTAGTAGCAAGCGTGAACTGCTGCCTCCTTCAGAAAGGGTGAGTTTTGGAGAGTAGGCGCTTTTAAAGGACTTTAGGAGGTGTCGGCCAATTTGGAGCTTGGGAAAACTTCATGTCTACAGAGGATTAAAAATGCTATCTTAGAATTTCAGGCCAGCTTTCAGTAATCTCAACCTTTCAGAGGCTAGGCAGCAGCTGTCCTGAATAGGATGCCAATCAATGGTTTGAACACCTACAAAGAACTAAATTCAGGCAGCAAGAAGCTGTTTCAGCTAGACACACTTTAAAAGGAGATGGATCACAGCATTTCTAGTCCATCTAGAATGGAACAAGGAGCTGTCCTGACACCCTGAGAGAGTCAGAAGCACTAAGGAATTTGGAGGAAGTGATAGGATGTGACCCTTCTCTCCAGTCAGTCTGTTCAGCAGGCAGCCCATGGAGAACAAGGAGTTAGCACAATGGGAGTGAGCAAGGTCTGATTTCATCATAGAGTTCACCATCTTATTTTTAAAGAGGGCTTCTGACAGACACAAGAGATAAAAATTCCAAGGAAAGCAGGTGTGTGATCTTATTTGTTCTTAAGGAAGATAAATGGTCTGAGTTCTTATTGCTGTGACTTCTCATAGAGGAGAGAAACACCCCAAAAGGAAGAATCAAGCCTATGGGCACAAACCTGTAATGTTTTAAAGCCGATGTGCAGCTGAGGATGACCGTGGCAGCCTGCCGCTGTAAACATCCGACTGAAAGCTCCTCTGAACACCTTACAGCTTCCAGTCAAGGATGTTTACAGTAGCAAAGACGGCCCAGAAAGAACGGAGACACAGTGAGGCACACTCTGCTCTAGCAAGGAGGTGACAGAGGGTTTGCTAATCCAAAAGCCCCCATGCAGGGTCAGAATTACAAATGTTGATTAGAATGCCCACTTCTCCTATACTTTCTCTGACTAGTTATTAATATGGGCCAGCATGGAGAGAATGGTTGTCACTGAATGACTCTGTTTCTAAGGATAATATTCTATAAAGTAACTCATTAAAAATACAAAATTTTGTTAACAAAATAAAGCAAGCAGAACAAGGCACAGCTTTGTTCCTGCGAGATTCTGCCACTATTTCCCAAGTGTCTCTACTACACCTATTTTAGGTAATCTGTATGCCTAAAACAATGAGCTATACAGGATAGGGATATAAAAGAAATATAGGATACAATGACAATTAAGAGTTATATGCGCCTAAGGTGCTGAAAAAATAACTGGTGACTCTTGGAGAGGAACAGGCAGAAGAGAGGGTAAATCAGACATTCACTTTCTTTCTTGTGATTGCCTACAGTTTAAGTGATGGTTCTCAAATCTGTTTGCACATTAAAAGCATCTGGGGAGTTTTAAAAAGTACTGATGCCTGGGCACTCCCATCAGATTCTGATTCAGCTGATGTGGGGTGGAGCCTGGGCACTACATGGAGAACCAAAACACAGAGGAAGAGAAAACAAAATCCATTCATTCTGGAAACCACCATGCACACAGAAAAGCTGTTTCCTAAAAAACCTAAAATCTGTAACTAGCTGGGAATATTCCCCCACCCCAGACGAAGAACTCTGATAGATTTCCTAAGATACCTTGAAATGAGCTTCACTTTGCCATTTGTAACTAAGCCTTTCATTTCCATTTTGTCTACTTTCATTTAAAACCACTTCAGAGGCACTGAGTTAAAAGTATCCATAAATGAGTAACAGAAGGAAATGTTAAGGATGAATCTGGTCTAGAGAAGAGGAACAAAAAGAACAAATGATTTGTGCTGAGAGGAGAAGCAGCATATCTAACACCAGTATGCAAAGTGCTCTTCAGACAGCAGCAACAGCAGTGCCTTCCCAGCTCACCTGACGTTTTGGAGGTTTCAGTTCATCTCTTGGAACAATATCAATGAGAAAGTCAAACTGATCAAATTTTGTAATTGCCATTGCGATATCATTTCTCTGTAACAAAGAAAACAGAAGTGAAAAATTAGCCTGGGAGAAACTAGTTCACCTGGCTTTATATGCTCCAAGTAAGATAAGAAGACAACTTTTAAGCCAAACTAAATACCCACAGCCAAGTCTATAGCTGAAATAAGCACAGACAAATTCTCATAAACTTTAAATGATTAGACTTGGACAAACCTCAACAAAAAAGAAAGAGATACATGTAACTCATGCTCTCAAACTAGACATTTGAGTCTCCAACCACCACTACTCCTGCTTGATCCTGTCCCAAGGCCTTCCCCACAGTTGTCAAATTATCATCTTTCAGCTAAACTAGTAAAAATCTAGCAATCCCAACTGGCAGGTTTCTGGTCATTCTGTGGTTGGCAAAATTAGCCTATCATTCACTTTTATAACCTTTATAAGGCCCTACATAATATTTTATCTCTGGCTCACAAATAGTTATAATCTATTCTGGATCTCTTAGCTGAATCTCAATTCATTAACTTTTTGCAACATTTTCCAGTCACTGGATCTATATGTGTCAGTTCCCACAAGATCATGATTTTTATTTGGGAATTCAAAATTGCAATGATAAATCCATGGCTTAAATCTGGCTTAATGTGATACAAATATGAAAAGTTTGAAGTTACGAGAACAGCGGCGGGGGTGAGCAGGGAACAGAGCAGTCAGATGACTAATGATACTGAAACCAAGACCTGCTCTAATGGAGCTGTCTCTCCAACTGTGACACTCCTTTATTATTATTATTACTATCAATATTATTATTATTATTTTATTTTTGTAGTGATAAGGTCTCACTTTGTTTGCTGTCCAGGCTGGCCTCAAACAATCCTCCAGCACTCCCAAAGTGCTGGGATTACTGGCGTAAAACCACTGTGCCTGGCGTCTTTCTTTGAATAATAAAATCCAAACATTTTAATAAAAAACCAACACATTATGTATAGTTTTGTGTACTTTACTGAAACATTTTAAAGAAAAAGAAAAAAACAGGAAAAAACACTGAACTCTAGTTAATGATGCATGTTGAAGTATTTAGGAGAAAGTAAACTTTGCAATGCACTTAAAAACAGCTTACTTGAAGGCTAGATAGAGGGACTGATAGCTATGGGAGTAAAACAAGCATAGTCAAATGTTAATGGGAAAATCTAGGAAGTATACAGGTGTTCACTGTAAACTTTGCTTGTGCTTAAAGTTTTTCATAATAAAATATTGGGGGAAAAGTCAACACTAACAGAAATTCTTAGCAAATTCTATATACCACATCTTAAGAGGTGACTCATCAGCCAAATAGGAGGGGATGGAAATTTTCTGTCTTTTCCTTCCCTTGTATCTGTGATGGCCCCAAGCCACTGAAATGCAAAACTCTAGTCCAACCTTCTTGCCAACCCCCAGCTTGATAGTAAATTCTCCCATCTGAAGCAGAACACCTCTTAAGACTGCCAGGACTCATTTAAGATGAACACAATATCGTATCACATTTTTGATGCTGTCACCCTACTCGATCGATCTAAATGGCTCATCTATGTATGGAATAAGGGGGGGAAAGGAAAAAGAAATAACAATCACTTTTAATCATAAAACAAATGTTCTACAGTATTTGGAAATTTAGACATATTTGAATTAGTCTTTCTAAAATTTTTATTTTGCCTTTTTTCAAACACTAATTTTCTACTGAGTTACTACTCATCTTAGTAAAATACAAAAACCTTAAAGTATACAGCTTGATGGGCTGGGCTTGGTGGCTCAACCTGTAATTCCAGCACTTTGGGAGGCCGAGGTGAGTGAACTGCCTTAGCCCGTGGGTTCGAGACCTCGTCTCTACAATCAAAAATCAAAAATTAGCCAGGCATGGTAGCATGCGCTTATAGTTCTGGCTACTTGGAAGGCTGAGGTGGAAGGACTGCCACAAAAGCCCAGCAGTTGACACTGGGGTGACCATGAGTGTACCACTGCACTCCAGCCTGGGCGATGGAGTGAGACTCCAACTCAAAAAAATAAATAAAGTATATAGTTTGATGAATTGTGATAAACATATACACCTAGATAGATAACACTCAGTTAAGAAAATACAAAAGTTTCCTCTAACTCTTTCCAGTCAATACCCTTCTCTATCAACCTCCCTTAAATTTGAGGCAACTCTGATTTCTATTAGTAGATGGCGGTAGTGTATGGTTATCATGCACTACAAAATTTTTTACCTCTGGTTTCTTTTGTTTAACATGTCTTTGAGATTTATCCATGTTGTATGGAGCAATTATTTGTTTCTTTTTACTGCTGAGTAGTAATCCATTTCATGAATACATCAAAATTTGTTTATATTGTCCTAAATTGATGGATATTTAAGTTGTATCCAGTTTTGGGCTAGTACAAATAAGGTTGTTAAAAACATTTTTACATAAGAATGCCCACATTTCTTTTTTTTTTGAGTTGGAGTCTCACTCTGTCACCCAGACTGGAGTGCAGTGGCCGCTCCCGGCCACCGCAGCCTCGACCTGCTGGGCTCCAGCGATCCTTCTGCCTCAGCCTTCCAAGTAGCTGTAACTATAGGCGCGCACTACCATGCCCGGCTAATTTTTTTTTAATTTATCGTAGAGATGAGGTCTCGCCAAGTTCCCCAGGCGGGTCTTGAACCCGCAAGCTCAGGCAATTCACTCACTTCAGCCTCCCAAAGCGCTGGGATTTCAGGCTGAGCCACCGAGCCCAGCTATGCCCACATTTCTTTTGGGTACATACCCAAAAACAGAATGGCGGGGTCAGAGATATGTTTTACTTGATTAGAAAGTGCCAAGTAGTTTTTCAAGGTCTCTGTACCACTTTACATTCTAACCAGCAACATATGAGTTTCAGACACTCCACTTGATCACCAACACTTGGTATTGTCAGCCTTTTCTATTGTGGCCATTTTATTGGGTATAAACCAGTATGTCATTGCGGCTTTAATTTGTATTTCCCAAATGACTAATGATGTCATATACCTTTCACAGGCTTATTGGTCATTTGTATATCTTCTTTTTTGAAGGGCTGTTCAAGTGTTTGGACTATTTTATTTTATTTTTTGAGTTGGAGTCTCACTTTGTCACCCAGACTGGAGTGCAGTGGCATGCTCCCAGCCACTGCAGCCTCGACCTGCTGGGCTCCGGCAATCCTTCCACCTCAGCCATCCAAGTAGCTGGAACTACAGGCATGCGCCACCATGCCCAAGCTAATTTTTGGTTTATTGTAGAGATGAGGTCTTGCCAAGTTGCCCAGGCGGGTCTCGAACCCGTGGGCTCAGGCAATCCACTCACCTCAGCCTCCCAAAGCACTGGGATTATAGGCTGAGCCACCGAGCCCAACCCCATTTTATTTTTTAATCTTTTATTAGAACTTTCTAGAGCCACAGACTTCAAGGCAGAATAAATTAAGTTTTCTGACTTCAACATGTGTATCATTCACTAGAATTCATATATATTCCTGTTTTTTTTTATTGCTTTAACACTTTCAGATAGTCAAGTGCACAAATCTTAACTTTATGCTGTAATGACTAGCTGGACTAGAATGCAGACTTCTATTGTTAATTCTCAGAGGCTTGAACAGTATCTGGCACATTGTGGCACATTCAATAAGTATTTGTAGAATAAATTACTAAACACATGCATTTTAAATTTTGTAGGTAAAGTAAAACAAGAGAAGAAAACAATTTCCTTTCTTGGCTTTGTTATTAAAATACTGTCATCATTTTGTATCTGTCACACTCTTCCTCCAACAGCTAGAACCTGGCTGTTGGTAAAAGGGCTTCTACAGCCAATGACCAAGGGTGCTACATACAATATGAATGTAAATTTGCTGGATTAAATTTTTTTTAAAAAATGATTCCCAGAAAGGCAGACAAGAAACAAAAAAGCTAATAAAATTAGTAAACCTTTGAACTTTTTTGGAATGTCTCAAGACTCCTAACCAGAAGTTGTTTACACCTGGAAACAGGTAAATACTCTATCACTTGAGCCAGCCTCTGTTTACAGTGAGGGCTCACCAAGTGAATGAGCTGTGAAAACCATGAGAGATTTGGAAATTAAGATTCTTGATGGAGAAACAAGATTACCAAAGATATAAGGTATGTCTGCCTTCCAACTCCCAATTGGAGATGCCAGTTACACAGTAGCTTGACAGAAGCCTAAAGAGAAACAATCTTTGGTCCAAAGCCATGCAAGAGAAGCAGGCAAAGGCAGCTGCCTGCCTCAGTTTTCCCAACGAAAGTCTACAACATTACCTGTAAAGTCCGGCGCTTGTTATCCTCTGTGTGAATCCAGGCTCGAAGAGTCAACTCTGTGATAAAAATCTGGGCTGCCTTGGCAAAGAGTACAGGGGCTTCAGCACTGATCATCTGCAACAGACGTAGGCCCTCCTGTCAATCACCAGCAAGTCATTCAAACCAGTTAGTTTGTTTATTGCCTCAAGGCCTGACATGGGACTATGAAGCAAGGGTCAGAACACGAGAAGGTAGTAGTCTCAAGAGATTCCAATGTAAAATAAACCATGGGTAGGGACAAAGCAGGTAATGGGGAGAAGGGAATAACAGGGAGAAAGAATACTTACTTATCTAGCACCTACCATGTGCCAAGCCCTGTTTAAGGCACTTTGTTACTTCCATAATAGCCTTTCAAAGAAACTAGGGTCTAGGAGAGGTGAAGTGACTTGCCTATGGCCATAGAGTCAGTAAATGGCAGGGTTTAGGTTCCAATCCAAGGAGAAACAACATAGGGAAAAATAATAGGCTTGAGAGCCAACAGATTTAGGCAAAATCTCAGGTTTCCCATCCTTTTGGGGTTTGTTTGTCACATAGTGAAAAAGAGGATAGCTTTATTATGGGAATCAAAAGAAATAACATGTACACAGCACAGGGCTTGGCACATAGTAAGTAGCAATGTAAGGTATCTTGAGGTATCTGATTTCAAAGTTCAAGCTCTCGGTCAAACAAGGCTCTAAACCTTTGGTGAAGCAGTCTGTGCAGGCTAGAGACAAAGGAAGAACTCTGGAGCTAAAGAAGCAGTAGATGATTACTGGGATCTTGGTTCCATCACTCTGGGTGAATCATAACCTCTTTGTGTCTATTTTCCTATCTGTAAAATGTAACTAATAATTCTTAGCCTATCAAATCTCACTCAGTTACTGTGAAGAGGAAAGAAGCTAATAAAAGAGAAAACTGCTATGAACTATTAGCTTTCTGTGCAAATACAAGAGACTATTAATTTTGAGTGGTAAAGAGACAGTGTTGCTCTCTCCCTGAGATGTTGAGATGTAATGGGATTTGGACTCCTAGGAGTACAGAAATGGCCAAGCTCGAGTAAACCTTCTCACAAGTATAATTAAAGTAAAAGAAATTCACAGATCAGAAGGTTAAAACGGGTGCAATATCATTATCAAACATTTCTTTAAAGCTCAGATCAACAAACTATAAACTGTAGTAAGATACTAAGATAAGGGTACTGTTCTGTTGATTTAATGATATATGTATATACCACAGTCAAAAGAATTGGGTGATATCACTGAATTTCAAAAAACAAACACTTAGCATCTTTTCAATATATGGGAAAAAAAGCAAGGTATCCCTAATTGTCAGTGATGAACCATAAAATAATTATTATTTTATTTATTTATTTATTTTTTTGAGTTGGAGTCTCACTCTGGCGCCCAGACTGGAGTGCAGTGGCCGCTCC